CCCTGCTGTGATGGCCCCTTGGTTTCAGAGGAGCTCACACAGACTGTGCTTTTCACCCCATCTGGTAAAGGCATAAAACTGTGAGGGGCAAATCCCGGCCAAAGGATCTCGGTTTAGCAACTGTAAGTCAGTGTTGATCTGCTGAAGGACTGCTCCATAATTTTCTTCTGTTCTTCCGTGAAAAAGGGAGGGTGAAGTCCACACAGGGAGTTAGAATATAAAATGGTGCACATTATCTCTTCTGCCAAAATAAGCAAAGGTATGGAGTACTATGCAAAAGATAAAGAAATCACTCTAAAACTATAGTATGTTGTTAGGGAAACTTGCAGCACCTCAGGCATAGAGAGAAGGGGCTTCTTGACCTCTGGGGGGCTGCAGGAAAGTACAAGTGTAATTCCTTCATCTATAAAGCACCAGCAGTGCACACCTGGGACAAAAACTGCAGGGTTTGGCGAGACAGAACCAGAACCCAGCTGGACACAGGCACCAGCAGCAGCCACGAGCTTCTCCAAAACCAGAACAGAAAGTATTCAAGCACGCAGGGTTAATTTGGGCAGTAAGAGAAGTGCCTGGAGAGGCACTGCAGCCATTCCTCACTTCTGCGTTTCTCTTCAACGTGTAGACTCTGTTCTCAGCTACATAACTGACAGGACACGGAAAACTTTTTACAAGTACATTTTTATTTAAAATAAAAATTAATTATGGTGCCTTTTTAAAATAGGGTACTGCACAGTCTGTATATGCAACACAGTTTTTGGTACGGAACATACTTATTGAGCAATATCCTTAAATACTAAATATACATTAATGGCTTGTTTGAGAGACATGACAACATTAATTCCGATATTTTCTTCTCTTTAGTCATTTAACCACTGATACAGATTTCCTATAAACAATATTTGTTTTCATCTGTACATGTGGTACACAGTCAAGAAGGCAGGTCTTAGAATATTTACATTCATGCATTGATTTAAACACACTATTTTGCAGTTTAAAATAATATATTTTTGTTTGTACAGGTGCAGGGAGTATTGTAAATACATATCTACCATAGGCCTGATTCTCCATTGCTTGGCAACATCTATGGTCATGACCTGGTTGGAGCAGGAGGCCCACACTCTCTTCACATGCTGTGACCATATGGCATGCAAGACTGGACAATTAGGTCTCTGTATAGATATATATCAATATATTTATATCTTATACTTAGTAGAACTTTCTGCTTTCCTTTCATGTCTGTTTTTGCAGAGATGTTTTCCTGGGCACAGCACTGTGCTGGGTCTGAGCCAGGAATGGTGGCAGGGCTGGGGTTTCAGCTTCCTGGTGCTGCCGAGGACTGAGGAAACTCGACACTTTGCAGCTCAGGCCCTTCAAGTGCATTCCCTGCTTGTGTCTGCTAGTGGTGATCCTTGAAAAGAAAATTTGAGTTGATGCCCTCCTTCAGACTGAACACAGCAGTTTTCTGAGTCTGTCTGGTGGCGCTCAGAGCAGAGCAGCTAACTTCTGCATAGAAATTGGCCACCTTTGCACCTACCAGGGATCTGGCTATTTTGTGAACACAGCCACGCAGAACTTTTCATTGCCTGATATTTTGATGGCTAAAACCAAACTCGTAATGCTTGTAAAGCTGCATTTTGGATTGCCAGTTCCCCAGAACTAGGGTCACTGCTTAGTGAAGCCCTTATCCATCAAGCCTGTTCTCTTCCCTTTGTATTTAATTATAGCGCAGTAAGGAAGCATAGAAGCCTCTTTTATAAAAGCTTTGCAAGTAGTCTGTAGAGTGTTAAACACAACCTTAAACACAGCAAACTTCAGAAGTCGTTCCTCAATGACACTGCCTTTCTAGCCTCTCTTTTCTGAAGACCTACATCTGCTTCCAGTATACTTTTCCAAGTGCCTTTTTGAAGAGCACCTTAAAATTTGGTGGTCAACTGTACTTAGCCAGGAATCTAAAGGCAAAAATACCCTGTGCAAGATTTCTCATCTCTCCCCGCCGGGCAGCTGTGTGAGTGCTGAGAGTAAAGGCTCTGGACGAGCAGAGGAGCAGCTCTCAGCCTGTCTGCTGCTGCTTTTCTGTGGCCAATGGATTATAAAAGCACACTGGGAAATGTTTGTTTAAGAAATATTATGGCAATGATGTGCCCAAATACATTTATTGAATATCAGCATGTTGGATATAATGACAGTGTATATCTGCCTATGCAAATAAGATACAGTTATATCTCTCAAAATACTGCTGCAGAGCTGGTAAGTATTTTCATCTTGATTATACAGATGGGTAAATTGAGGCACAGAGAGGCAAAATTACTTGCTAGTAATCAACAGATCAGTGGCGGAGTTGAAAATAAATCCTAGTTCTCATGTGCTGCTCCTTGAAATGCCCTGCCTCCCTGCCCTCCATTAAGTTTTTAATGTTCATGTTCTCCTGAGGAGACCTCAGGGGACCTGGGATGGGTGGGTTTGCTTGTGGTTATGTCATGCACCAGGGTTTTTTCTAGTGAGGACATTCTACCATTGACATCACTGAAAATCAGACAGTGTCCGGTGACCATCTCTTTATAGACTTTTTCTTGCAAAAACAGACACATTTTGATGGACATAATGAGCTACAAATCCCTTTTGTAATTTTGGCCTTACGGAACATGCCTTTAAAGCTGTATTAGGAAATAAATAAAATCAACAACCTTTAGGAGAAAGTGCTAATCCTGAGCCCATATCATGCTAAACTCATCTGCATTCATACTTTATACTCTCAGCTAAACATGCAACCAGTCTCAAACTATGCCACGTTTAGGCAGAAACAACCGGAGTAAAAAAAGAAAGGCAAACAGAGGTAACTACACGAAAATAAATGTTATAGCTTAAAAAATATTCTAGAAATATACTTGCAATATTTTTATTATAGTATTTAGGGGCTAAGTGCTTTAGGCAATCAACATTTGGGATACTAGACTCAAAGTGTAAATTCTGTCATTTTAATCCCACTTTGGATCTAAGAACATATCACCGTGTCTTGTGCAAGCACACAACATGAATATGGCAGGGGATGACCATACTCTTGGGCAAAGGGTTACTTATTCCCTTTCATTTGTGTAATTGCATTCACTTCTCAAGAAAGTCTAGCCTTTAAAAAATAAATTTATGTAGCTAAACTTCTACATAGTGATGACAGGCTGAAAAGCTAAAAGAATACTCAATAAATTCCTCAACAGCAGTATATAGCAGCATTTCATGTTATCATTGAAAAGATACTTATATTTACATAAACCCTATTGTTCAATAGGTAATAGAAAACTACAGATGGGCCTGAGCTGAAACTGCCTATTTGAACATCCCAGAGGGTTTTTTTGGAAGATCTGCAGAACATCGTCTTCCTCTACCATCAGGCCAAACTCTACATCCTGGTGATAGACCACCCGCAGACAGGAATGTGTTCAAAATCAAGGTCTGATTTCTGCAGCTCAGGCACATCCTTATATAAAACTGAAAGCATCTGTGTGTTGCAGTACTGAGGGACAGGACGGCTGGGGTGCAGCCACATCCCAGAGCAAGACTGGGTAGGTGCCTGGGAGTTAATCACAGACACGGAGACCAATTAGTATTGAAGCTGGATGTCCAGACAAGAAGCCAGGGTGGAAATTTGTCTTTCACTGCACCACTACTTTCAGCACAGAGGTAAATGGAGACATATACGTGGAGGTGTGACATGAAGGAAAGTTTTCAGGAGGTGGGGAAAGACTAGTGTCTCAGCTAGTCTTATCGCCTTTATCGTAAGGGTTACTGACTGAATCTAACCTGAGATGCTATGAGAAATGAATTTGGGTGGATTCAGCTTTGCTTTAAGTAGTCTGCAATCCACATTATGGAAAGTACAACACTAAGCTGTTACGCTGAATTTGGCACGATCAGCAGTCTCTACCCAGGAGAGGCAGAGACTGAGTTAACGTGGGCACAACCAGCTTACCAGACCCTCAAAAGCGGTCCTCCAAGCCAGACCTACAATGTCCTTGGTGGGTCAGTTCAGGAGACTCGACACTTTCAGGAAACAACACTAATCAGTGAATGAAGAGGACTTCAAAGGGCTGCTAGTCCTTTCAACACAATCCCATCTAACTACTCACTCCAAGATGTAAACAACATCTTTCCTGTAGGGGCTTCCCTGGGGAATCAGTGTGATGCAAACACAGAGAAACATGTAGAATTTCACAGAGGAAGAACTTCTTTAAAGATAAAAAAAATAAAGTGTGATGCAAAAAAGGAGCCTGATTATGAAGTAATAACGTTCAAAGCACCTCTTAATAACAGCTCTTTTTCAATAGCAATGGTAACTGCTAAAATCTTACATTTTGATTTCTTTTGCCTGAAAAGTCTTCAGCCACGGAAATTGCATAGTCACCAGACTGCAGATGAATTTCCTGGGATAAGTCACAAGTTCATGCAGTTTTTGGTTGCTTAATGGCTTAACAGAAACCTTTGTTCCCTTTTTAACAATGAAATAATAAGAATGATAAGAATGAAGTATAAGTGTACAAAACTGTGCAGGCTGGAGAAGCACGTGGGTGACATCTCCCGCCCTTGACCCTCAGACCCATTTATAATAAGCTGCTGATACTCTGGCAGATCACCTTCTCCTCAAATATCCTATTTCAGCAGCTTTTTGTGGACACTTGATTCAAACTGAAAAATGGGGGGGAAGAGAGGAAGAAGAAGCGGGAGGCATCGCAACATTGCTTTCACGAGATGCAGCATGCAATGCTTATGCCTTTGTGAGGCCTTTTCTCCGGGCAGCCCGGGTGGGCGAGTTTATCCTCCCCTGGAGAAGCAGCGAACCTGAAGAGCAGCCTGCTTTTCTCTTCTGAATCACTGATGCGTGCGCTATTTCTGAAATGAAGTCCTTGGCCACAGAGCTCCTTTCGTTGCCTTATTTCACCCACCTTGCATACTCCGTGTGTGTGCTTTGAAAGTTTACCACCTCCTGTGCCTCGGTGGGGTTTTGGGGATTATACGACCGCATTGTTATCAACTGTTTTGTTGTTTTGGGAGGAGGTCATTGCATATTCAGCCCGACTGGTTCCATTCTCTTCTTTTCTCATTGGTTTCCTTGGGTGATCCCAGGTTCGGTGATGTACAGGCAGAGTGGGGGGAGAAGAAAGGGCAGAAATAAACATCTTCTTTGTCAATACAGATTAAAAGCAAAGACATGTAAGTTGCATCATAATACTGAACTTTTCCTGTCTGTTTTCCCCTTTCTGAACACAGGCCAAACCAGCAGTTAAATATTGTCAAGCCTCATGATCCATCTGGAAGGTGAGAGGTCTGGTCCTAAGGCCTCATGATGGGCTGTTGGTCTCCCCATTCTAGTCTGTGTACAGATAGAGGCGTGCATGTTGCATGACACAAAGGCTGCTGGAAGGAGAGTCCTCCACCACGACCCTCATCCCTGGAACAGAGGCTGGGGTGCTGGGTCAGGCTCTGCCTTGGGGCAGTCCTTGGCCTTTCTCCTCAAAGTGCTACATCATTCAAAGTGGGATGATGATGAATCATGTCCACTGATGACCCAACTCACTCCCCAGTCATCATAAAACCACCATCTTTGATCACTAGGAGAGGACTCATCTGACAAGTGTAGATATGTACATCTGTGGTAACCACCCCAGACTACCTTCACAGTCAATGGAGAGAAACAGAGAGTTTTAAAACACAGTTCAGAACAGCTTAAAGTGAAGACCCAAAGTAAGTCACATGCTTGTGCCCAAGGCATTCATGTTTCTCTGCATTGTCTGTGAAGGAAGGCTAGTTTGGTAGCCCAGACACAGAGGTCCATGTGCTAGGTGTCCGAGTTAGTGACTGAAACATGGTACCTGCTGTTATCTACCAGCCTTCCAGCACCAGCCACCCTTTTAATTTTGTTTGGTGGTCACTGGTACCATTCGGTAACACAGTCCTGGACCACCAATACTAATTGTGAGGCAATTCAGGAAATGCCCAGCAAGTGCAGAAAACTAACAAGCATCTGTACGTTATGGAGCAAAATCATCTCATTTGGGATTTTAAAGTGACTCTGAAAAGGGAGACCTAAGCATAAGTCCCATAACAGAACACGTTACATCATATGTTTCCCCTACAACTTCTCTTCTCAAAAGTGGTGTGACCTTTATTTAAAGCTGAAGCTTTAAACATAGTAGGAGGAAAAAGCTTTGCGCTTTCCACACAGATATTTCAGACACCAGTGCCTTGAGTTTAAGGTGCTTCTGAGGGCAAAAAGAGGACCAGACAAATGTAATACAACAGTCAGTCTGTGCTATTGCTCTTGTCATTGTCTAACAAAACAAACAACAATTAATAAAAAATGGTTAATGACATTTAATTTCAGTAAAGTATTAATGAAAGATTTATGGAGAACGATTACAAGAAGACAAATTTGTTTTGCCTGTAATCTCAATGAAAATACTTCTGATTGTGCTATTTTATGCCTCTCTAGCTGGTAAGAGTTAAGGCTTGTTAGTATCAGCTACGATTCCAGCTGTTAGAGAATGGAAATGGAAGGGAAGGGGAGACTAAGAGTTGTTGAGACTAAGGGTTTGTTGAACCGTTTTCCAGCCATTAACATGCTGTGCCTGTCTGCATCTGACACAATCTGTATCTGTGGCTCTGTTTTGCATAACATTGTAAAACACCCATTCACCTTGCCACATTCCTGACAAGAGGAACGGAGAACCTGAAGGCAATACTTCTCCCATTTTTTCCTGGGCAGGGAAAATTATGTGGCTGTCTATACTTCTCTGCTGCTTTCAAAAATTCCTCCCCCCGCTCCAAGTTCCAACCCTAACAATCACCTCTATGAATGGTCAAAAAATGAAGACATTTTGGACACTTCTACTTGCTATGTTTGTCTCCTGTTTACCCCTTCATTCTTTATTCTGGTCTCCTGTGAGGTTCTGCACCTCTCCAGTTCTATTTTCTTTTCCTGTCTAGGCTTCCTCTTCTTCCTTCATGTTAAAAATGTCTTCCTCTCATTTTTATCTACACTTTTCTTTTTTCTAGAAGTGATTTCAAGACTGACTTCTTCAGTCCTCCTGAAACTCTTTTTTCTTTCCTCACCCTTTTTTTCCTTCAGTTTCTCTTCCCTGAGAGCTGCTGTTTGCTCTTTTCCCTCCCCAGGGCTGTCTCCCAGCACAGACCTGGGTGATTTGGAGACTGTTCTCTGATGGTGAGACCTCTCTACAGACATGGCTGGAGAGGTTGCTGGTGACACTACACCCCTGGCACTAGCATGCATCGGAAGTGTATTTTTTCAGAGCCTGCAAATAGTAGAATGGAGATTTTATCAAGGTTCTGCTTCTGCCTTATCAACCGCTCAGGGTTAGTGCTAGCAAAACAGAGCATCTACGTGGGTCTCAACGAATGGCTATTTGAGGCATTACTTTATTTGGTTTTGGCAGGCACAAAAGTTCAGGCTTGGAGATGGCTCTGTTTAACTCCTTCATTTGATTTGTTTCCAAATGCATGTCAGACATGGATTCGGGGTCAAACTTGCCTCAGTTACACCATTTGAATCGCTGGCTTGGCAGACTCATATGCACTTGTCACAGTGATTAAAATTGACCTATGTATTTAGAGATGCAAAGTAATTTTAGCCTGTTGTTGGTTTTCAACCGCCCTTTTTCATTAGGGCACCAGCTTTGTTCTGCCACCAGATCTTTGTGTGTCACTAGCTATTTCTTACCTTTAATTTAATTGGCTGTTGAGATCACAGCATGCAAGTAAGTTTTCCTCTTAGACACCAAGGAGAACGCTTTTATCCTATTTTCTGCCTGATAAGCTAGATTATGCTTGATCTTCCTATGTGTAATATTCCAAGCCCCCTCTCAAATGAAGTGCTACGGCCATGTATTTATGCATTTCCATTCCAGGGTTGCTCTTCATTGTTAAAAGGGATGTTACAAATTAGTGAGAGAATGAGTAGGGAACTATTCATATCTGTGACATACTCACTTGGTGGCAGGTGAAACGGGCTGTTTCACTAACAAGTGGTTTGCATTGCTTTACAGTATGATTTGCTACACACTGTTCTTTGATATTTAGCAAACAAATTGGCGCATTCTTCATGCCAAACATCTGCGAATGGAAGGGACATGCAACTCTGTACAGCTTAGTACACGCCTGAAATGATGCGTCAGAGTCCATAATGACCTCTCCACCACGCATGCATTAATTTGCATGAGTCCTAAAATCAAGAAAGCATCAAACAACCATTTAATAGTGTATTTCATATGTCAAGCTTAAATTTCAGATGAGGTTCTGATCAAATAAACCTTACTTCTCAAAGAAATTCATAGTGGCGTGTCGTATTGGCTTGTACCATCTCTGCAGATGTGTAAAGGTCAACGTAATGATGCACATTCAAACATACTTTGTATGTTCCATCTTTAGAAAATTTCCTAGAGGAAACAGTTGGCCCTCTATCATGTCTAGTCACAAACCCAATTGGTATATTTGACAAAACTCTCCCTGCCAGCTTTGGCTACTGGTGTAAGTGTGGCATAGACCTACTGTCTGTAAGGCTGTTGTGGGGTAGAGTACTAGGGGAGGGTTTCACCTCATGTCTCACTTGTACACACTTAAGAAAATCTCTCTATATATGACTTCAGATAAAATCAAGCAAAAGCTGAGCAGACTATTAATAAAGTCCTATTTAATTAGGACTTTATTATGTCTCATTACTTATAGGTTTATTGAAGCTTTGAGGAGAATAAGATAGCCTAGAAATAGAAATAGAAGTTTCATCCAGAAGAGAAAACTGCAACAGAACTCAAAAGATGCAACACTATCCACATGCTCATACTCTTCAAGGTGCTTCATGCTTGGAAGGGATGAGAGTTAAGAATAAAACCTTATGTCATAAGATAAGTCCGAGCCTTGCAAAACTGTTTCCTACTGCCTACCTCCATAGCAACGTCTCTGTTGAGTGTCAGTGCACCATGGGTAGCATTTGGGAAGGTTGAGCCCTGGCGAAACCGAGCCAAGCTAGGAGGGGGTGACCTTGGGCTGGTAGCAGATAAATGAAGGGATCTTAAATTCACTTCCTTCTGGGGCTCCCATTCCCGACTGAGCACTGTCAGAAGACGCCTGCGTCCACCTAGGATTTGCTGCCCTGGAGTATCCTCCGAGGGAAACACCTATACTGTTTCTTACAAAACGGGAACAGAGTGTCATTCTTCTTTTAAAATGCAGTTAGAGGAGGAAAGGCTGCTTTGCTCTTCCTGCTGTGCATTGTTGGAGGAAATGTCGAATGCTCAGAAGACCAGAGTGCAACTCCACTCTTATACAAAATTGTAAATCGTACATAAAAGGCACCCGCAAAAATATATGTTAAAAAAAGATCACATTGTATGGGTGTCGGTATCAACTGATAGCAATTTTACCAACAGTGAAAGTGATGAGGCATCTCCGTACTGCCTCTGCACGGTTATACCTGTGCCAATGTACAAGGTACCTGTGCCAAAAATCCTTCTGCGTTTTCAGTTCCTCTCATGAAGTTGCTTTTAATAACATATAAAGAACTTGCCTCTGCTCTCAAAGCAGTTTCACCTTGATGTGGCTCCTACAATGAACAAAGCTGCAACTAAGCTCAGTGGGCAGCCCCACTTTTGCATGTCACAGCACAGGGCTGTGCTATGGGGAAACACAAGGAGCCGGTGAGCTGCTTTACTGGTGAGCATCGCCACGGCTCGTCCACCCCTCCTGTGTTGGTGGTGGCATGTGCTGGGTCGCGTGTGTGCCTGCCAGTCCCCAGGGCAAAGCAGCAGAAGGGAAGAGGCAAATCAGAGAGCTGAAGATGTATTGCTTATACGTGCAGTGACTTCAAAGCTCTTCTCCACACTGATGAATATTTCATTAGCTATGAACACATAAAATGTAATGATTTTCAATAAAATTGGGTCTTATATGACATACCCATTTGCTTCATAGGATTGGTCTATCCTGAGGTACCCCCAGTGCTCACCAGAAATATCCAAGCTACCTATATACCAGTGGAGATCCAACCGCAGCAGCATCTTCCTGGGTTACAAAAGTCGTCCAAGAAACAGGGTAAATAT